GAGATGGATTGGCCAGGTGGCATCATTGATGGACTCAAGTGTGGCAGCAGTAGTGAGGTTGGCCGAGGATCGAACATTGTTTTGTTCTGCTGTGCATGGGGTCACTATGAGTCGGTTCTGACTCGATGGCACCTGACAACACCACCAACAACAGTATCATCATGGCTTCTAAAGAGCATTCTGGTTGTAACTCTAACACAGATTTGTTTGTTCTTTTGGCAGTCCGTGTTACTTTTAATATTCTTTTGTAATACCATAACTCAAATACATCAATTCTTCTACAGTCTTCAGTGAATCACAAATTCTCTGGACCCCAATTTCCCTCATCTGTAATGTCAAGGAATATTCTCTAAGGTCTCTTCCAATGTTTGTATTTCTATGAAAAATGCCAGCTGTAACACTAGTGATGTAACACTAGTGAACAAGTAGTATATCCTTAAAAACAAGCAAAGGAGCCCTAGCAGTGTAGTGGTTACATGATGGGCTGCTAGTAGGTTGCAAGATCAGCAGTTTAAGTCCACCAAGTGCTCCATGGGAAAAAGATGAGACTTTCTGCTCCCGTAAAGATATAAAACTATGAGTCAGAATCAATTTGAAGGCCCACCACCACAACCACCACCAAAAAAAAGCAAACAAAAACAGAGTTACCTTGGAGTTGATTCTGGCTCATGGGGACCCCATGTGTCAGAGTAAAACTGTTCCATGGGGTTTGACCTTCTGGAAGCATATTGCCAGGTCTCAATTGTAAGACAGTAGTCTAGAACCTCCACCCTTTCAGTTAATAGCCACCTGCATTAACCCATGGCACTACCACACAGACCTTAACCTTCTTAACAACTAACTGATACTAAATCTAACTTTTTTGTCAAATAAAATATGTTTAAAGTCTCAGGTTAGTACTGAGGACCAACTATAAGAGACAGAATACTGCCTCAGATAGCCTTTCTCCCCACAGAGCTAATAATCACAGCTGGCTGGATTCCTACCATACCCCAACATAATAGTTACCTCTCAGACCTGGTCTTTGTGGGGCTCCAGTCACAGGTGATGTTTTTTACGATGCTTTGAAAGGCCATTGTGAAGGTCAAGGTCATCTTCAGGATGTCATTCATGTAGCCTTTGTATGCAAAGCACAGCTACAGACACCAAAGAAGTCTATCAGTTTTATTAGTAAAACAAGCAGCCAAGCAATCAATAAACCACACCATTAGAACTTTACCACAGGCTGTGAGAGGTAAAGGGCCAAGTTCCTGCCCTCCTAGAGCTTACCAGCTAGAAAGACCGAGTTCTGATTAAATTACTTGTTCAACAGAGAGTTAAGAGCACTGGTGGCATTGTAGGGTGAGCCCTGGACTGCTAAGCACAAGGCAGTCAGTTCAAAGCCTCCAGCTGCTTCGAGGGATAAAGAGGAGGTTTTCTGCTCCCATAAAGATTCACAGCCTTGGAAACCCAATGCAGAGTTGCTATGAGTTGGAATCAACACAATGACAGTGGGTTGGGTTGGATTTGGTGCTTGGCTGTAAAGACTGGAGTGAAAAAAACTCTATGTCTCATGACTCATGTCTCACTTAGACAATATCTGTTCTTACCCAATGACCTGTATAACTTTGAACAAGACTCTTAACTTCTCTAACCCTCAGTTCAAGATGCACTCCCAAGCATCCTTGGTTTCTAACTCATAAGTTAAGTACAAAATTATTTGACATGAGACTTTTAACGTCATGATTTTCAATCTCGGCACTATTGGCATTTTGAAGTCAAATAGTTCTTTGCTGTAGGGGCTGTCCTGTACATTGTAGGATGTGTACCAGCACCCCTGGCCTCTACTCACTAGACAACAGTAGTACCCCCACTCCCAGTTCAGTTGTGACAGCCAGAAATGTCTCCAGATAATATTGTCAAATGTCATTGTGAAGGCAAAGTTGTCCTGGTGTAGAGCCGCTGATCAAGAGTAATGGCTGAAAGGGGATTCCACTGCAGCCTGACCAGAAAAGGGCTTGTAACCCCTGCCATGAGCTCAGCAACCCAGCAAGGCTCATTCGAGTTTCCAAAGGGCAAATGCGTAGGATCTACTTTTTGAAGGGCAGCAGAGCTACTGAAGCAGAGCTACTATGCTCAAGAGATACGTCAGTGAATCTGTCAGTAATTGTTAGGAGCGAATGAGCCAAAGGTCTCTGACCTGGGGGTAGTTTAACCGAAGGATTGCAATTGAACAGTTGTGGTCTAGAAAATCAGGCTGCATCCAGGTCAAGCTGCCCCCTGAGGAACATGCAGGGCTGCCTCGGGGGAAAGGGAACCTGAAAGGTTTTTTTTCCTTGTATGACCTTCAGTTCAAGTCTGCACAAACATCTAGCTGCTCTATCTCTGTGTCCCTAGCAACTACAAGTTACAATTCTTCTGATAAGGTCCCACTTACTGCGTGCACAAACACCAGATGGTCTTGCACTCTTTTCCCTGCCCCAAGCACCTCCTTTTGATATAAGTATAAAATAAACTTGCTGCACTTGGTTGGGTCACAGTTTTTTCATCAGAGTGCTGTGGCCCACCTGGTCTCAACTTCACTTAATTCATTTGTGTCTTGTGTCTTCCTTTTTTTTCTAATTTCCTATCATCTCTACTTGGGTTTACTCTCCGCACGGGTCACAGAGGATAGTCGATGCCAGGTGTAGCAAGTAATAACAATTACTAAAGAGTATGTCAAAAGTATTGCTACTAGGATTCCAGTTCATACAGGTACAGGTTTATTCCAAACAAAACATGTTTCAACATGTCTCTGTGATCAGTGGATGGCTGTAGACAACTTCTCTCAGGAACATAATGGTCTTACTCTCATTTGGGTGCCTTCAAAAAATGGTCCAATCAAAACAGTGGTGTCCAAGGGGATCTGCTGGGCCAGTTCAATTCAAGGTGGAGAAGTAGCTTAGATTACAGTGACTGTTTTTATGTGATCTCAATGGGGAAAGCTTGATAAATTTTCTCAATGAGCACAGGATGTTTATGAGGACTTATAAACAACGTTTTTAAGTTAAAAAATGTTATTAATTAAAAACGCATTGATGAGACAGGTAATAGACAGCAAGAGGGAGGTTAGCAGAGGAAATATGGTAGCAGGAAACACAGGGAGGAACACACTAGCTAAAGTGAATAGAAGTAAATGCTATTAGCTGTTAATATATGGAGGGGATTGCAAACATGTAATGAAGCAAAGCATATGATTTGTTGAATGTGAAACTGATGATCTGCTCTGTAAACCTTCACTCAATTCACAATAAAAAGTTTAAAACAACAAGAAAAAGAAAGAAAATGCATTGATGAGATGACAGAAAGTTGCACCGAGGGAATTTTTTCATCACGACAGTGTACCTGCTTGGTCTTCAAGGATAGCAAGGGCTGTCCTATGAGAATTTCACTGGGAAACCTTATCCCATCCACCTTACAGCCCTGATTTTGCCCCCTTCAGATTTCTTTCCATTCCCAAAACTCAAAGAACATGTCAAAGGAACACGATTTGAGTCCCTTACGGATGCTGTTTTGATGTAATGGAAATTGAATAGTGTCAATTCTTTTGGGAAGGATTATAAAGATGGAAACACCACTTTCAAAAGTGTATAGGTTTGGACGGGGGATGTGTCGAGCACCAATAGTTTCACATCTTTATAATTTTGGTACTGAAGGTGTTTATTTTGTTCCAATACTTTTTGACTTATCCTCATATAACAGATACAAATGACTAAACCTTCCCACTGTGCTTAACTAGATGATCTCACTTAATGTTCACCACAATCCTGAGATGTAGAGCACGTTGTTGCCCATTTTACAGACAAGTAAACTAATGCAGAATATACTTAAGGAAGATGCCTGAGAGCACACAGTTTGGTAAATCAGTATTCAAATTCAGATAGTCTGACTATAGAGTATGAAATTTTATGCCTGGAGAACCAAAAATGCTGAGTAAATATACATCTATAGGTGTCACAGCTAATACAGAGGTGCTTTCAAGTAGCAAGTCACTAATGGGAGATCCCACTATTTGTTAAGTACACACCTGAAAGAGAAGTTAGGAAGCCCAGAACTTTGGCCTGAAATCCCTACGGCAAACCACAGCACTCACTACCTTTGTGCTTCGGTGTTTTTTGGTCTCAACCACAGACAAATAGTACTCATCATTCCCTACCCTCTGTACCTGAATGCATGAGGACTACTACTTACATGTGTGTACTGGTCCAGCCAATAGCCCTTCTGTCCAGCCGGGGCTGTCAGGACAAGGTGTCGAGGCTGATGGAGGCTAACTCTCCCGCAGAAGGGCTCTGTCTCACCTGTAAGGTCCCCATCAGAGCTGGAGCCTTGTGGACCTGAATGCAGTACACATAAAATAGGATGTGGTTTAGAAGCAAAGATCAAGATAAAGACAGGCATCCCTGTAAACCAAAGCAGAGCTTCCCAACATATGAGGAGGCTTCAAAAAGTTTCTGGGAAAATTCTATTATCTTTTGACTTGGCAGCACTTAACAACAACATGTATGTATAGGGCATGGGTTATGAGTTCACCTTGATCCCTCAGCCACTGGAGGAAATGGCAGGGTCTGAGGTGACCAGTACCCTCAACCAGAAAGCTCCAGCTATGATAAACCCATTGAGTGTCTCAGAGCACTGAAAATTTAATATCATTTCTATATGCATTTTATATACCGTGACATAAAAGATTGCTCAGAAACAGAGACAAGAAAGTTTGATTGAAATGTAATGAAATTTTAAAATAGTAGTATTTTAAAAAGACATACCCTCGTATTTTAAGACTTTGTTAAGACTATTCTGTTATGTGGAGTCTGGGTATGGTGCTGCAGAATGATGCACTGAAGCACAAGGTCAGTTTGAACTGCAAGGTCAATGGTTCAAACCCATCAGCCACTCCTCAGATACCCTATACAGGGTTGCTGTGAGTGAGAAATAACTCAGCAGAACTTAACAACTCTATTCTGTAATAATTGCTTTAGACAAGATATGAATCTGAAATGAACAAGAGTTGATTACAGTTTTGCTATTTGCCACGTATATCTGTTGCCCTTTTTATGAATGTACACAAGAAGAAGTATTTGGGTAGTGCTCTGCTCCATCTGGGGAAGTCCCAGGTGGTGAAAACAGTTAAGACTCAGCTACTAACTAAATGGTGAGAGAATCGAGTTCCCCAATAACACCTCAGAAGAAAGCCCTGATAATCTACTTCTGAAACACATGGAGCACAGTTCTAATCTAACACTCATGGGGTCACTGTGAATCAGAACTTGACAGCAAAAGAAATGGCTGGTCCACCTAAAAGCTCAAGAGGAGGAATGCCTCTTCCTTCTCTTGATGTCCTCACCAAACTTCTCCCTCCCAAGCACCTAGCCTCTCCCTGGACTGCTCAGTGTCCAAATCCAGCTTCCATAGCTTCCTTTGTTTGAGTTTCTTTAAACCTTGGAGAGGAAATGAATATTTGGTTTTGTTTCCATTTTACAGAAAAAGAGAGAAGCCAATAATGAGAACAATAAAAAATAAACAAAAAAACCACACCGCCAACAAGTCAATTCTGACTCAAAGCAACTCTGTATAGGCTTTCAGGAACAGAAAGTATTCTCTTTCTCCCATGGAGCAGCTGATGGATTAAAACCACTACCCATAACTCATTGCAACAGCATGGCTCCTTAGTGTGTCTGAATTTGTCAAACCTTGTTCAAATCCAAGCCGAAGAAGTATGTTAGCTGAAAGTGGTGCCAGTTTACATTTCACTGCAAGTAACTCCTCTATGGCTGTTTGAATCTATTCAAAAAGAAAAATAAATACCACAAGTTTATATTGTGGACGTAAAGACGATCCATTGCTCTCCCACTTACCACCAATTATCTGAAAAATGACCCACCTGATGGGCTGTGGCATTTGCAGGAATAGGCTGACTAGAGACATTGTCCCAAGTAAGGAAAAAGTTTCCTCTGCCAGACACGTTCAGCATCTAAAAGCCAAGATAACAGGAGTAATTTATATGCATTAACTAACTCAGAGAAGCAGTCTCACAACATGGAACATACTTTCTTGCCATGCTATTTCTTTTTTATTGTAATTTCAGTTTTCCAAATTCATTATCATCTAGAAACTGCTGGAGAACACAAGTTCCAATGAGAACTTTTCTTGAAATACTTCATGTGTCTGTTTCCCTACGTAACCACATTCCCCCACAGCCTACACTTCAGAATGTGAGACATAAATGTTGACGTGAATGCTAAACTTTCAGCTCTGCTTCCAATAAAATGTCTACTGGGCACATTGTACTTTGCTATGTCATAACACTTACATAACTTTTAATCTCTTATATCACTTTTATTTCCTGCTTTCGTCTATGGTTATTTGTATACATATTTTACTTTTAAACTGTAAACTATAAACTATAGAAGGCAAAATTTAGGTTGATTCATCCTTGTTCGCCAAAAGCACACCAAAACTGCTCAACAAAAATATAGGGAACAAGGTAGAATCACCACTGAGTACTATCCAAACTGTCTGGGTGGGGCTGATGAAAGGAGATAGGGATAGTTCTCTTGTGGTACAATAGTGAGTAATTATTATCAGGACTGACTGTGAGGGTTGGAAATGTAAAGGTAGACATTTTGTAGCAAAAGGAGGGGAGTGATTGACTTTGCAGTCCAGGAGCGGAGGTCCCTGGGACCATTAAGAAAGAAGAGCGAAGTGCAGGACCCTACCCAGAGAAACAGTGACGCCAGAGTTAGAAGCAGAGACAATGATGTGGAGAGATAGAGCAGCTAAGGACTCTAGACCCAGAGAGGGAGAGGGACTCGTGTGCTGACGACTGAGGGACAGGCTTGCGGGGCATATCCTTTAGTTGTTTGATGATGCATGGAGGGGATTGTAACCATGGCAATGAAATGATATACGATAGGATGAAAGTAAAGCTAATG